ATGGACTAACAACAATTTTTCACAGTGAAAGTAAAGAGAATCTTTTATGGGCACTCCACAGTAGAGTCTCCACCCAAAATTAAGTTAAATCTTTTTTACTGTCGGCAAATTTGAAAGGTCAGTACAATGTTCATATAAATCTTTTCAAATATTGGCTTTGATAAACTATTTAATATTTTTGTATTGAGATAATAAAATAATTTTTACATTTAGTATTATTTTACTAGAAGGGCACTTTATTTTAACGATTGTATGACGTTTGACAACTGTCAACCAACTTAAAACTAACCGTGACTAAAAACCTGTCGCTAACTTTAGCTCATGAATGACTAAAAGGCCACAAAAGGAAAAAGGTACGATAATGGGCGTTTAAAAGGTGGGTGTAGAAAAAATATTTAAATTATATGTTTTATTTAATATATTTTTTAAATAATTTCCCCTTAAAAATAATAACAAATTTTCCATGATTTTGTTGAAAATTAATTATAATACCAACACTAAGCGAATGAATTTGATATCCTTTTCATGAAATGGATGATTACATCAAGCACGACATATACAACACATGGCTGTACTTGAATATAATAAAACAAAAATACTGCAAGAATGGCAATAGAGAAAATATTATTATCACGTTTCTCATCTGTAGGTTTAATTTAAATCAAACCACAACAATTCAAAACATCATAATGCATATGGATCGAAATAACAGTTACAAACCTTTGAAATGCAATTCAAACGAACAATTTAGGGCTTGTCACTCTCGAATGCATTTAGATCACAAACACATTCATACAAAATAAAGGTGTGATACGTGTTAATTTATATTTCCATCGCATACGAGGTACAAACTCGCAAACATTTAAGTAAATCAGACATAACAGTTATGTTACGACAAAAAACCCATGTCACAACAAAAATGTAACTGTTGTTATAATTCATTAACATGAGTACAACTAATTAACTTTTACATACCGTTTATACGTTGCTAAGAATCACACGTGTTTTGCAGTCGGCTGGACAGTTATTATTTTGTTAAAATGGATAACGCGACTTATAACTCTTAGTAAACGATAATAGAACCACATCATTTGAACATCCTTGTTAGGCCTAACAGATTTTTCATACATTTATAACTAACGATTTTATAATGTTTTTAAGCAACAAATGTTCCTAATTTGTATCTTAAAACCTAATTTTTAGGAATAATCTTCGTTTTGCGTGATTTACAACACACAAGATCTTATATCACCTCCACATATGGTATTTTTCCAATTAAAGAAATCTCAAAAACCGGCAAAAACCTGCAATTAATGTTTTCACCTCAGTAAAAACACTTTCTCTGGTGCATAGATCAAATTGGACGTCCGCTGATGAGGTTATTACAAAGTTTATTGAAGTAGAAACCATCCAGTATTTAAATTAAATGATCCTAATAGCGTCATATATTATATGACTTTCTATATTCCCATTAAATGCATATTACAACCGCTATGAAAATATCGAAATGACCTAAACGTTTCATGAAGCTATATATCAACAGTGATAAATCGGATTTCTTTATTGAGAAATTATTTTAATATCAATAATGTGTTTATGCACATTATTGATGTAATAATAATTTAAATAAAGTATTAAAATTCAAAAAAGTTGGGTACTGTCTGAAAAATATTGCAGTGTTTATTTTATAATTAAACGTTTTTACACAATAATTTTACAATTCAAAGTATTTTTTTTTAAACTGACCAAATAGTCTAAAATAGATTATGTCTCAAGTTTGATAAACGCCACTTTAGTCACGAATTTAATTTAATGAGTGCCTAGAAAAGTTATAAACGAGTTGCATACTATACTTGTTCTACGACAAATACTTATTAATATCTAAAAAATATTCAAATTAAATATTTGTATAAAGCGACATCTATAACCACCACAATAAACATTTTTGACGTAATTTTCATCATTAACATTGCCCGTTATTATTTTAATTATAATTAGAAGCTTAGCAATGATTGATACTTTTAAATATTAAAATAACTTCAAAATATGATTATTTTAAGAAAATATATAGAAGCATTTTTTCACAGTAGTATGTGTTATGGGGACTAAGCAAAATTTTTAACAATCTATCAGTTAAATCTAGTTAACTGCACTACTACGGCGAAATCAAAAGGTCAGTACAAATTTTCATATAATCTTTTTAAATATTGGCGCCAAGAAACTTTGTAAAGCCGGGTCTACAATTGTCGCAGATCGCAGAACATAGGCTTGCGCAAAGCACCCAGCGCAAGCTTATGTTCTGCGATCGGACCCCTGCGACAATTGTAGACCCGGCTTAATACTTTTGGGAATTTCCATTGTAACGGGTGCAACACTAAAACTGCGAAGTATTTGTTTATATATATCAAGATACGTTAATATAAAAAATAGTATAAAAAATTAGGTATTTAACAAAATGTCAATAAAAACTTTCATAGAAAACCTTTTATAACGTCATGAATAGCGTAACGGGCGCTACCTTAGAAAATCGGCAAATGCGACCAAGTTGGCTTCTAAAGTTGATACTGTAAAATTTTGTATGAAGGCATATACCTAGTAAAACTTGAATAGTAACCTTAAACAAGCACGTATTTTAAATGCACAAAAATTGCATACTTTATTTTCTAAAATTTTCTCAAAATGTAACGGGTGCGACATTTGAACATTTTATCGAGTATTGAAACTCTTCCGTATTTATTCTTAATGTTAGCTTCTTAGCATCACAATGTACGAATATTTTAAGGTTATAAATTACGTCGCAATTAAACTATGTGTCTTCAGATATAGTTGTTATTTTGTTTAATAACACATCTGATTTTTTGTCAAGGTGGGGTAAGGTTTCGTGGAAATACCCTTTTGTATTTTTGTATTAAGAAAATAAAATAATTTTTACATTTAGTATTATTTTAGAAGAAAGGTCTTTATTTTAACGATTGTATGACATTTGACAACGTCAACTATTTTAAAACCAACTTCAGCCCGTGACTAAAAACCTGTTGCTTACTTCAGCCCGTGACTAAAGCGCCAAAAAGCTACAACTTGTCAATGTGTATTTAAAAGATCACTTGGTATTATGTAAACATTTATGATAATGAGCGTTTTAAAGGTTGAAGTAGAAAAAATATCTAACGAACAAGTATTTTTTTAAATTTTCTTAATTTTTAGTTTATACATATTATACATTTATATATTTGTTTTATAGTTCCTAATATAGTAATATTAATAAAATCAGGTTTCATATTTTATAATTTATTAGAGAAAATATCAACTTTTATAAAAAATATAATTATTTTTTATAAAACTGTTAATAAAAATGTTAAAATGGTTATTTCATATTATAAAATTTTGTTGTAATTTTTGTAAACAAAAAAATAAAAAATTTAAAAATAAAAATAAATTTTTATTTTTAAATTAAAAAAAAAGTCCTGTAACATAGTTCATCTTTTATGCGCATAGTCTATTTGTGTTATTTCCATTTAAACAATCTTAATTAAGCATTTAGTTCATGCTTGTCATTTTGGGTTGTATCTTTTGTTATAAAATCAAATAAAATAATTACATATATACAATGGGAAACAGATAATTTAAATGAACAATGGATTAAATTATCGATAAAGGTAGTTAAATGTCAGTCAAAATTACTTAATATTGAGTTTGCATTATATGTGGGTGTATCATCTTTAGTTTATATTACACAGGGTATATATTATATGATTTTAATTGAAAAAGAATTGTTTAAAAATAATATTTTTTTATTATTTCGTACATGTTGACAAGTTGTGGCTTTATGGCGTTTTAGTCACTATATTTAACTAGAGACTTCAGAGTGGAGTGCCAATAAACATTTTCTTTACTTTTACTATGAAAAACTGCTTCTATGTCGGATCAAACATATCGATTTACTCATAAAAATTTGACCGGTGCGCCGGTAATACAGATTCCCAAGTTTGTAACTATTTAAATCATTATTAGATATTAATAAGTATTTGGCGTAGAAAAAGTATAGTATGCAACTCGTTTATAAACTTTTCTAGACACTCATTTAATTAAGCACTCGCTTGCAAGGTACATAACCTAAAATGCCTTAAATGTATTCGAAAGACTGCATGAGTTCTGCATAAAATGTCAAAGTGGGAACATAGTAGTTTTTAAATTTAACAAAAATGTTTTGGTTTTTGTTAACCAGAAATACCTATTAAGTGTAAGAATTGTACTGTTTTATTTAACCAATTACATACAATTATGTCGTAAATGTACGTTTATCCAAAAGGTAAGGATTTTATTGCAAAAACATTGATTCATAATAAAAGTGTAACCTTAACATTCCCATTTGGTATTCCGTATTTGAAGCTTATAAATTTTAAAAGGTTAATCCATAATTACCTATTCAAAGGCGTGCTATAACTTATATAGCCTATAAGAGTATGTCTCAAATATCTTTCATTTTATTTATAAATTCTTTGAGAACCTAGTGCAAGAATTACATATTAATGTTTTTTTGTAAAAACAACCTGTTGGATTTACTTTATTCACCTTTACTTAATGTCAGGTTTATTTACAATAAATCATAACTTTTACAAGCCATTGTAAAATAAAAGAGCTTTCTTCTGGCAACTATGACATTTTGCAATATCTCATCTTAATTAGAAGATACACGTAACATGATTTAATTTTAGTTCCCATTATTTTATAAAAAATAAATAATGTTATCGTTATTAACATGCTTATTATTATCTTTTTCAGGAGTGAAAGTGGCAGACCGCTTACAACAAAGAGTAGAAAACATTACGTTCAACGGATTTATCTCGAAATGATGTGAACTCCAGTTTGCAACACTGACGTGCACTCGATTTATTAAAAGTAACAGTTGACAGTCTAATTCATTGAGTGTGTGAATTTTACCAAAAGAAAATTAGTAAATAGTGTATTAGTTGTTTGTGTCAATTTGTGAGAAGTTTTTCTGATGGTTCGTTTTTGAAGATATGACTATTTCGATGGATCACAGAAGTCATAGAAAGAACTCATGGGACTCTAAGGTAAATTAAATAACTTTTTCTACACCCACCCTTAAAACGCCCATTATCGACCTTTTAAATACACATTGACAAGTGGCTTTTTAGTCAAGGGCTGAAGTTAGTAATAGGTTTTTAGTTAAGAGCTGAAGTCAGTTTTAACTTAGTTGACAGTTGTTAAAATAAAGTGCCATTCTTGTAATATAATACTTAATGTGAAAATTATTAATCTCAATATAAAAGTATTAAATAGTTTCTTGACGCCAATATTAAAGATTATAAGACCTTTTGATTTCGTCGTAGTAGTGCTGTTAACTACATTTAACTGATAAAGCGTTAAAAATTTTGCGTACAGTGCCCATAAAACATTATCTTCTCATTTACTGTGAAAAACTGCTTCTATATCAATTGTTAATCTATTTTCAAGGAATAAATTTTAATTTAAACAGAAAAATTTTAACGCCGGTAGATTCCAATAAATATAACTTTAACTTTTTGTACCATTTCCCATGTAAGAATTTTTAGTACTAGTATTTTGCAATTATAGTAATAAAAAAATCAAAGGATAAAATATTTTCTTAACAATATCATATTTTAAAGTAATTTTAATATTTCAAAGTATCAATATGATTAATTAAAATAATAACGGGCAATATTAATGGTGAAAACGTCAAAAATGTTTATTGGGATGGTTACTTTATTTTCGTATACAAATATTTAATTTAAATAATTGTTTAGATAATATTAAGTATTTGTCGTAGAAAACGTATAATATGCAACTCGTTTATAAACTTTTATACACATTTAATTAAGCACTCGTTTGAAAGCTCGCTCGTGCCTTAATTAAATTCCGAACTAAAATGTCGTTTATCAAACTATATACTATTATTATTTAAAATAGATTTTTACTTTAGTTTTAAATTTAAATTAAACGTTGCAAATATGATCAGAGAAAAAAATGTATTTTGGGTACAAAAAATCATAAATCCAAGTAAAAAAAATTAGGCGAAAATAAAATATAAATGTCATTTTTTTTCTATAGAAAATTAGTACAAAACATTTGAAAACAAATTCCTACACTATTTTTAATAAATATATCCATATTTAGTTTTTTTTTTAAATTAAATATAAAAGTTTTATTAAAAGAGTTAATTTTTATCTATAGTGGTTTAATTTTTATTTAATTAATAAATTATATTATATAAATAAACGACTTAAAAATGTTTAGTTTGCAATAACCAAATTAAGTGTAAATTTGATAAGGCAGCTAAATTGTACAACGTGGAAAAAATGGCGAATGCGCCGGGGTTAATTAATAAATGAGGAGCTCTATTCCAAAACTCGGCTTATCCACTTTTTAATAAAAATGAGTTAGTGGTGTCTGTAGCCCCATATACCCTAAAATAGTAATAATATTCTAAAACTCACCTTTATCCATTTAAAATTCATTTACAAATTGACTATCGTTCCAAAACTTGCCTTAACTATAGGTTATATCATGTCAGAACTGACTTATACGTATGTAATTTTAAATTATTTCAAATTGGAACTATACCTTTTTAATCAAGGTATATAAATTTCATACTTATGCCTATATGTTTCGTTTAAAGTATTCTGTTGGCCTGATATGCGTTAGTACTCACGTACGTGTAAGGTTTGCCGAGTTTTGGCACGCACCTCCTCAAATATAGAATGTTTTAATAGAGAGATGTAAAAAAACGGTTTTTTTCAGATGTGAAAAAAAAACATGAAAAAAAACCTAGAAAAAAAACGGTTTTTTTGTTTTTTTTCAAAATGAAATTTTACAAATATTAATAATAAAGCATTGAGTAAAGTTTACTCAATGAATAAAGTGAAATGTAGAATATATTAAATTTTTCATTATTGAAAATTTTGACCGAGACTAAAAAATCTGATTTCTTATTTGGTAGTTTCCACGTTAGAAACCAGTAGCAATGTAAAACTTCTACACCAATACAAAAAATTAAAAAATTAAAGGATAAAAAAATTGTTATGCGATTCTTCGGATAGCTGTATCTTTGTTAAAAATGGTCGTAATGGAGCCGTAAAAAAAAATTTAAAGCTTGAAGTTTCTAGTTTTGAGATTTTTAGATGAAAAATGTGCAACGCTCAATCCTAACAAATACCGTAATAAAAAAATCGATTTTTTTTGGCTTTCTGGCCCACGGAATGTTCTGTCTTAACCACCAATGAATAAATGTTCTACAAGAATTTGCTATTGTTTTTTTTTGAAAAAAAACGTACTCTACATGAATTTGAAAAATCATGAAAAAAGTGCTTTTGGTAGCTTTTGAAAAATCAAGCGCTGAATCAAAAATATTATATCTAGTTACTTTTTTTAGGACCAAATCAAAACAAGCGCGGCCCTTATTGGTCAATTCGGTGGTGGTGGCGCGTGCATAGCGCGAAACTGTATTTACATTTACTAATTGTCATTTAGTGGCTAATTTTAGTCCATGAAACCTAAAAAATTAGGCAAATCTTGAAAAAAAAACTAAAATGTGAAAAAAAACCATTTGAAAAAAAACCTGAAAAAAAAACCAAAAAAACGGACCGTTTTTTTCAAGTCGCATCTCTATGTTTTATATTAATATAACCTGACTGCAGCGCCAGCCATCGGATCCAAGCATAGCTATGAACCATCGTCTCGAAAAAACAAATATATTGTGGCCTTAATCGGTCAAGTCATTCAGAAGTTACAGTAACAAACATACAGGGTGTAGTCGATATAAAAGAAGAAAAGTCCTTATGAGCTTTGAGATAAAGTTAAAAAAAAACGTTTATTTTTTGGCCGAATTTAATAAAACTTTTTAGCTTTTTATTGATGGGTGAAGGGATTAATTTAATGTTACTAAATTTAATTTAGTTAATACAGAGGCGGCGCAGGGGCATAACAACTAGATATTTAAAAATAATATTTGGGTACGCTACTGATTTTTATGAGTTTAATATTATTTTTAGATTGGGCAATTAAAAATACATCTTATATGATTCCTGCATTTTTTCAATCTTGTTTAAATTTTAAGAAAAAAAATTGTTTATTCGCCCCTAGAAAAATTATGGTCACGAGCGGATAAACAACTTTTTTTATACAGCAAGTAAAACTATTTACAAGAGACAAAAAGTTGTATTTTTAATTTCTTAATCTAAATATAATATCAAAAACCATTTATTTCATTTATTAACTTTAACACCATTTATCTCGAAAACAAAGCATACAAGTTCATAATATATATATTATATTATATTATCATATTATATTATATTATCATATTATATTATAATCTTTTTTCTTATTTTTCTATTGACTATTAAATTTTCCCAATTAAAATCTGAGAGTATATAAAGATAAGTTTATCGCCAAAGGTGGTCGTTTTTGAGTTTTGTGCTAAAAAATTAGCTCCCATTTTCCGACAAACGTGCCTATAGGCTAAAAAAAGTTGCTAATACTTGGGGCGACTATAGGGTAGGCTGGGCCGAAATAATTATTTTTGGAAATCTCACTTGCCTTAGTTAAAAAAAGTTGTGAGAAGGGTATTTGTATAAGCTGTTTTTTTTTAAATTTTTAAAAATAATTTTAGCCGCTCCCCCGGGGACTGAATGTTTTTAAAATTAAGACAATTTTTTAACTCACTTGTAACACAAAAAAAAATCCTATTAATATATTTTAATTTTAAGCCCCGCCCCAAAGCTATTAAAGTTTTAATATGCAGCTCTTTCATTAAAAAAAAAGCCTTAAGTAAGTTAATACCTAATAGTTTTTTAATATGCCAAATTTAAAATTTAACTTTGAAAAATATTTTTGGTATTGAATTTTAAGAAATTTTAACCCCCCGGGGGCGCGGCTAAATTTGTTTTTAAAAATTTGAAAAAAAACAGCTTATTTGGGTACCCTTCTTACAACTTTTTTTAACTAAGGAAAGTGAGATTTCCAAAAAAAAATTGTTTTTGCCTTTTTCGGCCCAGCCTACTATAGGGTGTCCATTATTTTTCATGATGTCTTTTTTAACATGAGTATTATCTAAATTATTTGTGTAAAAACAATTTTGAACAAAAATCAGATGTGATTTAACCCTGCTTTTAATATTATAATGACATCTACGCTCTATGTATTTATTTTATTTATTTCAAACTTCGATAACATTAAAATGGATGATTTAAAAAAAACACGCAAAAAACCTTTTTGGTGGAGTGTAAAATTTTCTACAAAAATATGTCTTATTATTAATTGTCTATTTATTAGCGAGTTATGTTTTTTTCTTTTTATTAAAATATCATTTAGGCAGTCAAACCGTTGATTGGTAATATGGGCTGGGTCAACGATTAAACGATATCGAAATTTTGTTTAATGGTTTTTAGAATTTAAACAAAATATTTAGATAATAGCTATTTTGCAAAATAACGAACACCCTAGTGGACAAGTACCTTAAGAAAGAAACTCCCGATGGAGCATTAGATGCTACAGATACAAAAGTATTTTAACGATCGATCATTATATTCATGTGTAATTTAATTAAGAAAAGTAAACTCATCAAAACGCATTTTATGCTTCAAATCTAAATGTATCAAAAAACGTTCAATAATTTAAGCTTTTTTATTGTCAACAATTACTACTAAAGTAATTGATTATCGCTAGATTGTGAAAATAATTCAGACAAATCGGGTAAAGATTTTCACCTCCCATTGTGTTAAAAACCCGTTTGGACCAATAAAAATTCGACCACTGTCAGATCTATTTAACCTCACTTTCTACTTTTAAAAATTATTATTTTTGTACGTTCTATGTATTGTTTAACAAATACAATTATGCCTTGAAGATAAAATGTTGTATGCCATGCGGTTAAAAAGTTTTATAAATAACTACTAAATAAACCAGTCTTATATATCTCCATTAGATTCTCAGAAGGCGGTTTTTATTCCTTAAAAGATTTTAATTTAGAAAGTTTTATTCAATGAAAACATTTTAATCCTAATGATTTCCTAATACTGTAAAGGTAGATTTG